ACCGCGACTATGAATAGAGCGGTAGCGGAGTAATCGTCGGATTCACTCCCCGCCACTCGACGCGTTAGTGTTCTGAGCTGTTGAACGTGAATCCCTGTCTTGGCATTTGGTTTTCACCTCTGGCTGCGTTAAGTAGTTGAGTTACTGTGACCAAATGCCCATCTTGGTAGTTAGTATTCGCCTCTGGTTGCGTTGAGTAACTAAGTTACCGTTGCTAACTACCCATCTTCCTGTCTTTTGATTTCTTTTTCTTTGTTCTCCTGAAGAAGCTACATACAATTGTAGCGAAACGTCGAGATGAACCCACTTTTGGATCACTCACAAATGACACGGTCCAAACCCGGAAGACGAATAAACTATAATTCTGACTCTGGCCGTGGAAGCCTACTTCTTCTTCTTCCTATGCCGTCCCCATTAACGGAGGTTGGCGACCACATTTTTAAAAGCTTCTCTGTCTTTTGCAACGTGGAATAATTCGTCTACAGTCATGTTTGTCCAGTCTCGAATATTTCGCAGCCATGACTTCCTTTTTCTACCTATTCCCTTTTTGCCATCGACTCTACCCTGCATGATGACCTGCAGAAGACTATATTTATTATTTCTTAGTATGTGTCCAAGGTATGCAGTCTTGCGTACTTTTATCGTTCTCAACAATTTTTTGACTCGACCCATTCTTCTCAGCACTTCCTCATTGGTGACCCTGGCAGTCCATGGGATTCTCAACATTCTCCGGTATATCCAAAGTTCAAAGGCTTCAATCTTTTTAACTATTTGCGCTTTTAGTGTCCATGTTTCTACCCCGTACAATAATTGCGACCAGACGTAACATTCAACAAACCTCAGTCTCAGCGCAATATTCAGATTTTTGTCACAGAACAATTGTTTGAATTTTAGGAATGCTGCCCTTGCCATTTCTATTCGTATCTGGATCTCTTGGTCTGGATCTAATTCTGTGTTGATGTAAGCTCCCAGATATTTATATTTTGTCACTCTCTCTATTTGCTGTCCACCAAGAGTTAGTTGTTCATTATTTATTGGACTCCTTGATACTATCATAAATTTGGTCTTATCTGTGTTGATGTCAAGTCCCATTTGAATGCATTCACTATTTATTGCATCTAGTAAAGTTTGTAGATCTTCTATACTCTCAGCCATAATTACCGTGTCATTTGCAAATCTCATGGTGTTTATGATTTCTCCACCAATTCTTATTCTTAGCCTACGATTTCATTTAATTCCATGCCTGTTTAATTTTTAGAAAATATGTAAGATTTCGTCAGAGAGGTTATTTATTTCATCATTATCATAGAGTGTATAAATATTTAGGACTAAATATTACGGATCAGCATATGATAGCGAAATATTAAATACTACAATAGTCCAAAGAACTTATAAAGAAAAACACATACCAAATAAATAACACACTGGATAAGAGAACAATAGCGTTCGTAATAAATAATAATAAGCACACAAAAGGAGACTTCCAGTATGTAGTTGCTTTTAAAAAAGTATGGAATGTCCAAAAAAATTCGTTGTAAATTGAATTTGGCAGAGAAAAATTTAATAAAAGACATAGATCAGTTAGTACTCACGTCGCCTATTCCGAGAAATCTAAAAGAATGGATAAATAAATAACTATATAAAGGTTAATAATAATAACATTTAAAACTTTTCTCTATCTTTGATTTGGTTCGCATAGTTTAGGCTCCATAAACTGTTCTAAAACCTACTATGGCCTTCGCTGTTATATTAAATTAATTTTTTAGTCGAATTCAAGCACCTTTGCACACTTTTAACAAACACCTCTTGCCACCAACAAACCTGTAATGTTTATCTTCGCAGACCACTTGGAGGTTCCGTCCAAGACCGATTGGTTCACCGCTTTCATGTGGCCCGCGTGATTCTTTTCTTCCACGCCAAAAACGTCCCTATACATTCATTGCAAAAGTCATAGAAAAGAGTTCAATGCCACAACACAAAAGTAACATAACATAAAAAAGTTAGTTCGTTGTAAACCTTTCTATAAGATGTAGGTGTGTTTAAATTGGTATGGAAGTTGATTGTGGTAAAAGAAACGAATAATATTTAATATATTAGATTGCAATATCGTGAAAGCTAAATGTTTTTTTTTTAAATTAACCAAGATATTATTATAAGATCGAAAATATATCACTTGACGTTTTGACTTATAACAAAAAACAATTTTCTATTTGGCAGTCGTAATGTCAGATAAAGTATTTGAATCTTAGTATTCCTGTTAATCCTGTTAATAATTTATATGCTTTTGTTATTTTATTAGTTTGATGGAGGATAAAAGAACAAATGAATGAAAGCGTTAATAAAATTTAGAGATTGGACTCCTTCGACAATTTTGGGAAAATAAAATTTGTGAATAAACGAATCTGAGGTGGGTCAACAGTAACAACAAATAGATTGGACATGGATTCTATATCTAAAAAGTAAGACAATAATAGCAAGAGAATTACAAATAAGGAAGTTGTTCAGGTAATTCAAAAAATAATGCAAGGTAAAGTAGTTGTACCAGATAATATTAATCGCTGAAAATAAAACAGTAACAGATAATAATGCATTCAAGAATACCTTCTAAGAAATAGAAAACAAAGCTAAACTGAGTGGACTAAAAATAAATGAAAATAAAATGAAATACATGAACGTAACAAGAAAAAGAAGACACAAATGATGGAACTGGCAATAGATGCACACAGTTTCGAAGAGGTTAAAACAATCAAATATTTGGGAGTACTAGTCAACATAAGAAATGAAAGTGTAGAAAAGAAGAATTCAAACATGAAATACCCCGTTTTATAGAGATAAGAAGATAAGCCAAAAGGCAGAAATGAAAATCTACAAAACGACCATAAGACCAATAGTAGTATATACTGCAGAGACATTTCCATTAACAGCAAGAGAAAAACAGCAATTAAAAGCTTTTGGAAGAAAGATTATCAGAAAACTGTAAAATCATAAACTGTAAAACCAAACTCAAAACCCCTTTAAATTACATGACAATCATGGTTAATTGCAACCATATAATGACAAGAGGTCGAAGTTATTAGATTTCACATGAAAGGGAACATATTTCTTTCCTATAGGGAAGGAGGTACAGGTTGATTACATGTACATAGACCTAATAACAAACGTATACAAAAATGCGAGTACCACAATAAAATTGACGAACGAGCACGCTACAAAACCGATAAAATTCGAAAGAGGAATCAGGCAGATAGACACAATATCACCAAAATTGTTCAATCGGGGTATGGAAAACATATTTAAAAAATTAGGATGGGATACATACGGAATTAGAATAAATGGAGAGCTCTTAAACCACTTGAGATATGCAGACGATATAGTCCTGATAACAGATAAAAAGGAAGAGTTACAGAAGATGGCTGAGGAACTAGATAGAAAAGCGACAGAGGTGGGTCTAGAGATGAACTATAGTAAAACCAAGACTATGACAAACCAAGAAGACCAATAAGAAATAGTAGTCAAACAGAATAAATTAGAGCAGGTGGTAGAATACATATACCTAGGACAGATAATAAAGCTGAACAGGGACAATCAAATAGAAGAAATAAAAAGAAGAACTAGACTAGCATGGGCCTCATTTGGTAAACTATCATATATTCTAAAAAATAAAAAGTTCCCTCAATATATGCGAACGAAAATATTCAATCAGTGCATTTTACCAGTTATCACATATGGCTCACAAACATGGACTTTCACAAAGGAGAACATCGACAGGATATCCAAAACACAAAAAGCAATTGAAAGACAGATGCTGGGTATCGGTCTTAAAGACAGGAAAAGAAACTCATGGACCAGAGAAAAAACAAAGGTGAACGATGTATCAAGACAGGTTGCAAAACTTAAATGGAACTTCGCCGGTCACACTCTCCGGCAAAAAGATGAAAGAAGGAATAAGCGAATTCTACACTGGAGACCATGGGAAAAGAAAAGAAAAAGAGGAAGACTACAGATGAGATGGACTGACGACCTTAAGAGAACGGCAGGAAAGGACTGGATGCAGATCGCCCAAAATAGAGACCAATGGAGATTAACAGGAAAGGCCTATGCCCAAGAGTGGGCGTTTAAGACTGATTAGATAGGTAGATAGATAGATAGCTAGATACGAAAGGAGAACGACTTTGTCCAACGGTTCAAAATAACAATCGATCCAAAGATCAGGTAAATTTATCTTTCTTGTTTTTATACAAACAAATATATATGGTACAAACTAGTTGTTAAATAAAAACATCAGGTTATTATATTACATTTTTATTTTCATTTTATTTATACTACAGTTAACAAAAACAAGCAAATACTATTCAAAATTGTCGTTATAAGCATTTTTGCCACAATCAATTTCCACAAAAATTTTCAAACACGATTGAGTTGATTTCCATGTACCAAAAAACGTGTTATTAATACAGCTACAAGTTCAGAAACGATAGAGTTAAAAAGTGTATCTATTAGTCACATGCATCAGTTTAGTGGCATGCCATTAATGTATGTAGAAAAATTGTGTTATCTGGAATGCAATAACTTCAATCATACGGTAAAATGTACCTGAATTATCTTTGTGGGCGTTGGAGGTGGTAGAATGTTTAATGAATATTAAAAAAAGTGATGAACAATTTCAAATTTAATATTTTGACACAAAAGTATTATTAATTATTATTATAAAATAATTATTTAAAACAAATCTGATTTAAATCTACTTGTTTAATAGCAAATAAAAGTTTCATATGAGGTTTCTGGTTTCGAATCTTCATTTTCAAGGTTTAATATTATTTTGAATGACTATTTTAACATTACATTATAATTTTACTGCACTTTAGTAACAATTAAGTTTAATTTTGTTAATTCTATAATATATTTATTATAATAATCTTTCCTTGTTTATCACTTTTCCGTATATTCCCAAAATTAGGTGTAATTTTATAAATAAATAAAAAATATGTTTCGGGACTTACCGGATCAGTTCAAATATCTCTGGTTTTTCCCGTTCACGTTGTTTCATCCTGTCTTTCATGGCTGTGATTATGCTGTTGGCTTTGTCTTCGGCTCCGTGTTTGGAACTCTTTTCAGCGGCCCCTGAAATTGAAAAATTTTATGTTAATACGTACAGCTTTTCTTCAGAATTTGAAAGTGATTTTGGCAGTAAGAATAAGACAATTTTCAAGTTTTTAATAAAACGTTTTTGTAAATTTATAATTACTAAAAAGTCTAGATGCACTAGATAAAAATAGTACATTGTTTACCGGGTAGGAAAAGCTTAATATTCCTGGACGACTGTGAAGAGTCCAGGAATGTGGCTTTTCCTACGAGGTAAACATACTATTTTTCCGCAAATCGTTTAAAATTCGACAGATATTGATTGATTTAAAAAAAAACGCGATAATTTTATTCCCAAACAAATGGTGCTTTGAAATTCCTAATAAAATTACTTGGGTTACTATGGAAACGTATTGAGGTTGAATTGTCAAACTTGACGCTTATAAATTTAATTGCTGGTGTTCTCGAAAGTAAAATGATAAATGATGATGAAATTTCCATTCCTGGGACTCCTCCAGAGCTGGTTGAGGCAGTGAATACTGCTTCATTAGAATTATTGCCAAAGAACTCAAGAGAAAAGTACGAAAATGCATACAGACGTTTTATGGATTATCGCATGAGTAAAAATACGAGTTCTTTCTCAGAAAATGTTGTAATGGCATACTTCCTAGACCTTTGTTTAAAGATGAAATCTTCAACATTATGGGCCAATTATTCAATGCTGAAGTCAACCCTTGTACTTAAACAGAATGTAGATATATCTACATACTCAAAACTTTGTTCTTTATTGAAACGGCAAGCTCAAGGTTATAGGGCAAAGAAATCTAAGATTTTAACGAAGGAAGAAATTGAAAAATTTATCCAGGAAGCTCCAGATAAAGAAAATTTAATGATTAAGGTAATTTACAAGGTTTTAATTTCTATTTAGATTATAGCTTTATTCATTTTTTAGGTGGCTGTAATATTTGGTATTTCTGGGGCCTGTAGAATGGATGAGTTAGTCCGAATGACTGTACACGATATAGAAGACTTAGAATCTAAGCTTTTAATCAGCATACCTGATTCGAAAACCAACAAACCAAGATCATTTGTAATTAATCAGATCTACTTGAATGTTTATCGAAAGTATGTTTTGTTAAGACCAGAAAATATGAACAGTGACCGATTTTTCTTTAAATAGCAAAGCGGAAAGGGTTGTAGACAAGTAGTAGGAATTCATTAATTTAGAAAAATGCCCAAAATAATTGCTACTTATTTGAACTTGGTAAATCCGACAGAATATACTGGTCACTGCTTTCGTCGGTCTTCTGCAACAATATTGGTTGACTCTGGTGCCGACATAACTAGTTTAAAGAGGCATGGCGGATGGAAGTCATCAAACGTTGCTGAAGGATATATCGAAGAATCGCTTAACAATAAGGTTGAGGTGGCAAATAAAATTTTCACAGTACAAAATATTCTACAAAATGACACTTCCATCCTGAATGTTGTCCAAAATGTTTCTCATAGTTCTAAGAGTGTTCCTCCAATGTTCAATAATTGTACTAATTGTCAAATTACTGTAAATATAACAAATTGATCTTAAAAATGTATTCAGCAATGACTTGATGTTTTCAAAATATAAATTAATTCCTTATAAGCAATGTATTTTCTATCATTTATGTAGAACACTAACAACTGTACGGAAATATCATTTCCTTACAGTAAGGAAATGACATTTCCTTACAGTAAGGAAGTCCTGACTTTTCTTCAAGAAATTTTGACAGGAATGTCAAAATTTCCTGGCGATTTGCGGAAAATATTATTTTTTAAAACCAAAAACTTAAAAGAAGATTTATACGTGTTTTGTAGCGTTAGCTACTACAAAACTGACGACACTTCCCTTATCCAGATCTTACCTCTGTCGTTGGCTTGGCTGGTGTTTTCCTTTTCTTCTGTCTTTTTATTGACTGCTCGGATGTAATTGTGTATACTATTCCATTACTTTCTACTTCCTGTAATCTTCACGATCATCTCTCTCGCAATCACAGGGTTCATACCTATTTCTCGTATAAATTTGTGTTTCTCTTCCCTGTTAATATATTATACTGCAACCATGTGTCTGTCTTTCTAAACCTATAAAGAAAAGGTCTAAAACAACCATGTAATGTGAGCACTTGCATCAGGAAGTAATCCAGTCATCTATGACTACAGTCTACCTAGTTTCCTAGGCTCGGTATCAGGAGTATCGGTATGTGGAGGGTGCCGGTTTACAACATCCCTTCCATGGAGAGGCTTATATGCAACAGTGTCTCTTTCAGCGGCTTTGTTCTTGCTGTAAGCCCAATTAGTCCGCTAGCCTTCGACAGCTCAGTAGAGAAACTAAAATGGACTTTCAAAGTTGCTTTTATCTGGCCTGTTGAATGGATATAGTGCAATAAAACAATTACTTGTTAAGAAAGAAACTGTAATTGAAATAAGAAAGGGCAAGAAGTAGAACTTATAAAATTTGAGTGTGTAACTTATCGTAGGAACTTAATTTGAATATTACAATTTGCGAACGAAAGCGAAAACACCATAACACTTATTCACATATTACGGCTTCCCAGCCAATAGCGTAAACTACAACGTGGAGAATCCTCTCCGAACTTTAAAATATAGATGTTAGCCCTACGAAAATCGCTAAATCACTAGCCCCGCTGGAATATTTTTTTGTTTATGCATTTTGAAAAGCCGGTCTGTCGTCAAGAAGGCGCTGTGGGCGGGGATTAACATTCTCAGAAACAAGGTCTAGGTAGACTGGATTTATTTAGGTAACCGACGCGAAAATAGAATTATTTGATAGATACAAAATAGAATTATTGGTTTGGAGATATAGTTCTCCAACAGTATGTTAGTCTACTATTCCACATCTTCCATGTTGTTTCACTTTTTTATTATCTTTTCATTGATCTTTTCTTTCCTCCCTTTTTTATGGCTGTTGTCAACGCCTCTCTTGTCTCATACAGACGTCTCCTTTTTACTACTAACACATATAGAGGAACACAACTCGTGTTAAACCACAAGACTGCCGCAAATACAGTACTGTAGGCTCATGATATTTGCAACAGACTCGTTCTGTATACCCGTATCACGAGCCGTTTGTAGGTCGGTATTTTTACCGCTCCACTTTAGACTAATGCCGCGTAAAGAATGATTGTCGGCACATCACCGTGTAAGACCCTCCTGCTTTCTAATTTGAGTCCTCAATATTAGGCATCACTCTCCCCATTGCAGCCGCACTCTTCGCTGCCTTCTGGACAGATACCCGTATATGTTTTGTCCATCGTCCATATTAGTGTAGCGTTACTGTAAAATATTTGAGGCATTTTTTAAATTTTAGCTGTACCTTGGCACACTGGAGTTTCATCCCTTGGCTTTTCTCTCTTTGCTACGAGTACTAGTTCGTAATCCAAATTCGGGGATCCGACTCGTCCTACGCTACTATCAGCCCAGAGAGATTATTCCCAAAAGCGAAGGAAGTTATTCATTCTCCATAGTCGCAGTTCATGACCCCGTCATATGCCAGATTTCATAGCATCGGACATAAAACCAATCCCTGTAGGACCCCAGCCGTTACATCTACGAGCTTGCACTTCTTAACCACGACCTTTCTCTCAGAAATATATTCTGTCATCACATTTATCAGATATTGTTCTGAAGCTATTTTCTTGTGGTATTTTAAATAAATCACTATTTAAATGAGAATAAGCCACACTGTTACATAGTAATTAATTATAGTTACAAAGTAACTAATTATCAGATAGCTAGGACATTCCCTTTCCTATAATGCCCGCTTTACACTGCAAAGTGTTAAATGCATTTCTAACGTCGACGAGCAATAGATCCGAACAGCGCTGTTCGCCCCCAATGTTATGCAATACCTCTATTACACGCAAAATTGCGTTAATTGTATTTTTTCCATGCAAAATCCGAATTTTATTCTTAATTGAAAGAAGTACTAACCTTGATGTCCTCCAAGCACCACAAAATGTCTGTTCTTTGAGAAATGTATTTTTGCGCTCCAAAAGCCATCCAGGTTCCGCGAGTCCTAGACCCCTTACCGCTTTGGGCGATATGTGGTTCAGTTCGGGGGACCTGCATGTCTTGAGTGCATGTAGTGCCTTGACTAATTTATCTATGGTAAAGGGCACGGCCCGCTCAGCTCCCTCGTCCCTCCACACTCTGTTCCATCTGCCGGATGGAAAAAGCTCTCGTGTTACGTCAGGCTTTTGGTCTAATGACATATTGTATAAGGGGTACGCATGCAACTTTTTTATTGCCATTCTATATCCCTGACAAAAAAGTGCTTATTCAGCTTGTCACACAGTTTACTCCAGTTTACAACAGCGTTTATCCTTGCTATTCCCCTTGTCCTCGTTATCCTTTTCCTCATGATTATGCATTCATCTCTGCGTTCTTCGATATCCGCACTCCACCAGTATATCATCCTACTAACATCTTGATGACCTATTCTACTGCCTGCCGTAGCTTCTTTCTTGAGTGGTCCCAGGTTTCCCACCATTGGCGTTTGACCCTGTGTTATACGTACTCTCAATTTAATGAGTTCCTCCCTTTAATGACACCCTTTGTTTGGGTGAAACCCTTGGAAATTTGGTTTCCAACCTTAATATAAGCTTGGTTATTTTGATATAGCTTTTTCACGGCATTTATATATACTGCATTTATACCTGCGTTTTCCAATGTTGTCCATAGTCTCTGCAGTGGTACGGAGTCAAACGCTTTACGGAGATCTATAAAAGTGGCATGAAGTTCTAGTCCTCTTGCTAATCTCTTTTCCGTTAGATGTTTGAGAGTAAATACATTGTCGACACAAGATCTCCCTGGTCGGAATCCACTTTGTTCTTCGATCTCTGTAGCTTCTTTTTCTATTCTGGCTTTCCAAACTCTTTCATACAGTTTGCCAGTGGATGACGTAATGCTGATACCTTGGTAATTACTGCAGTCATTCCTGTTTCCCTTTTTGTAGATGGAGTTTATGTACGAGACTTTCCAATCTC